GCTGGGGTCTGCAGATGGAAGATTACCAAGAGCAAATGCCCTGGTAAAGAGGGAATCTACCAGGACTCTTGCTGAGGGCAGGCCTTGTGGTCTGGTATGTCCTGCTGGCCACTAAGAGATACATAGCTCACTCAGACCCCACGGGTGGTCACAAGTGAAGGATGGGGACTCTGGCTAAACAGAATTAGTAGGATTCATGTTAAAATCGGACAGTACAGAGACAAACAGATAAGGTGAGAAGCCAGGACCCTGCTGAGGACTTGGTGAAGGAGAGTAGCTCTGTCACTTGTAGCTGATTGCTGTATACCTTTTTATATCTGATAAACATTCAGTAGCCTTAGTGAAATAGCTTGATTGCAACTCTTTATTATTTGTTGTTGTGTGATCCTTTTTTAACCAAAGTGAAAAATGATTAATTTTTAAGGAAAATGAAAGATTTCTTTTTCACCTTCTGATTGTTCCTTGATGCTAAATAAGTAAATATGCTAAGTATATTTGCAGTTTCTACGAATTTTGTAGCTTAAAGTAGATCCATCAGATGAGTAAGCTGGTGAGGGACACTGGAGCTACAAGGCCTGGATCCTCATCCTATCCGTTTCACCCCGTGGGACTTTGAACCAGCTCTTGTCTTAGGAACCTTCATTAAGGGAGGAAACAGTCCCATTTATAACAGCAACAAAAAAGGACTCAGTTATTAATAATAAACTTAACCAAAGAAGTAAAAGACTTCTGCACTGAAAGTGGTGAAACACTAGGAAATTAAGACACAGATAAATGCAGATTCCATTGTCATGGTTCGGCAGAATTAATGTTAAAGTGTCTGTGCTGCCTCCAGTTATCTACAGATTCACTACAGTCCCGATCAAAATCCCAGTGGCACTCTTTACAGAGATAGAAAATGCATATTGGGAACTGTAGGTGCATGCATGGAATCTCAGCTATGCAAGAGGATGAGGCAGGAAGATCCCTTGAGGGGAGGCGTCCGAGGCCAGCAAAGGCAATATAGTGAGATCCTACCTCCAAAAAGGGGGGAAAAAAAGAAAAGAAGAAAGGAAAACCAATCATATGTAACCACAAATACCCCAACAATCTTGAACAATAAAGACATTGCTAAAAGCCTCGTGCTTCTTATTTGCTAAATACTTCGCAAAGCTTCATTCATCTTAGCAGTATGTGCTGGCATTCAGACCAACAGGTCATCAGTGAAGTGCAGTAGAGCACCCAGAGCTAACTGCATGCATTTACTATCAGCTGATCTTAACCGAAGTGCGCGGAGCACACAGTGGAGCAGAGCAGTCTCTGTAACAAATGATGTTCATGCAAAAGGCTGAAACTGGACCCTTACGCAGTATGCAAACATCAGCTCAAAATAATTTTAAGATTTCAAGGTAACACGAGAAGGCAGAAAGCTACTAGAAGAAAACGTAGTGTAAAAAAACTTCTTGATGTTGATTAGGCAGTGATTTTTTTCACAGGACAAGTTTGTTTTGCAGCAGAAGCAAAAATAGTCAAGTGAAATGCGTTGAAATAGAAAGCTTCCCCACAGCAAAGGAAACAGTCATCAGAGTTAGGAGGGAACCTACAGAATGGGAGAAAAACCTTTGCAAAGCATGTTTCTGAAAAGGCTTGAGATTCAGAATAGATAAGGGACTCCTGTAACTAAGAGCAAAAACCCAAACAACCCAATTTAAAAAAGGGATAAGGGCCTGAATAGACAGTGCTCAATAGAAGACCTAGAAATGACCAACAGTCATGTGAAAAGATGCTCACCCTCAGTCATCACGGAAACCAGAGAGGTATCACCTTACGCCTGTAGAATGCTCCTATCTGAAACGTAAAGGATACCACGTTTGCCACGAGACTGAAAAAAGGGAACAGTCGTACACTATTGGGATTGTAGGCTGGTACACCTATTGTGGAAAACAGTTCAAAAGTCCATTCAAGACTAAAAACAGAAACTTATGCTCCAGCAGTCCTACTTTTAGTTATATATGGACAGGAAGTGGAATCAGTATGTCCAGGAGAGCTGCCCTCTGGAGCTCACTGCGGGGCTATTCACAATAACCAGGGTATGGAAACGAGGGAAAAGTCCCTTGACAGAGAAGTGGGTTTGAAACAAACTTAAGGTGCATAGGCATTCCCACAGAGTGGTGCTTCACAAGAGAAGGTAGTCCTGTCATTTGCAACCGCACAGACAAACTGAGGACATCATATTGAGGATGAAATAAGCCAGTCATGCAAATACAGCCACTGTGTCTGGTCATTTCTATGCGGAATGGAACATAGACACCTAGAAGCGAAAAGAGTGGGGGTGGGGTGCGGCCAGGGGCTGGTGCAGGGCTGGACGGGGAGATGGTGATGTAAAGGGGTGCCCAGTTACCAGTGAGGGTCAGCACTGTGACTGTAATTAACAGTACTGGTTTCTTTTTCTTTTTTTTTTTTTTTTAAACTTGGTTTGGTAACACACTAAGTGTTCTTGACACATTTTTGTTTTGTGTATCGGGAATTGAACTCACGACCTCGCGCTTGCCAGGCAGGTACTGTGCTGCTGAGCTGTATCCCCGGCCCTCTTGCCACATTTTTGTTATGGTAGGTTTGAGAGGTGATGGATGTGCTCATCAGCCCGATGGTGCTCATTGTTTCACAAACTGTACAAATATCAAAACGTCAAGGGAGGGTGGATGTCAGATACCATGATATCCAGTGGTGCCTCAGTTTACGAACTTAATTTGTTCTCTGATTTTGGAAAAGATGACCACACTTGCATTTGTCACCCAATGCAGGGTTTGCAAAGAGAAATAAAATTTTGCCAAACGCTTCTGATTGCGAACCAAACTATTTGCAAACAAATGTTTCATGGCCAAGGTACCACTGTAGAGGAGAAGTGTGTTCTAATGTTCTGCATCACAGTGGGTGACCCAGTTCTCAATCAGTTTATTATATATTTTATAAAGATCTAGATAGAGGTTTGAAGGCTCCTCATGATAACTTTAAAGAGGTGGAAATGCTGAGTGCTCTGGTTTCTTCGGGACACGTTACACGCACACGTCAAATGATCACACCCTACCCCATAAGTACTACACAAAGGCTAGAATGCTTCTCTAAACTTAAAAACGTCAAGTTGTACACTTTAAAAAATGCAACTTTTTTTTCCTGAGTTATACTTCAATAAAACCTAGGGGGAAGTGGGGCCCATCCTTTCTTTAGTCTCTGTGCTTATATGGGAATGAGGGGCCAATGAAGTGGTCTCAGACTGCTTAAAACTCAAACAGTGATTCCTGGGTTTTTAAAAATTTTAAATGGTCCAGACCCTTGTGAAAGTTAGGACCACTTAGGAAACACGAAAGGTATAAGTGGCCAGCTTGGAGCTGGACTAAGTTTTGTTCCTTTGTGGGTAGATGTGCTCACCCCTTTCCGGTGTGCTCAGGCCTCTTCGCACAGCTGAGCCCCTGGGGCATGTTGGGTGCTCTGCACCCAGTCGTCCCACGGAGTGGATGCCCAGCGGCGCTCTCCCTGTGTCCCTCGCTGCCACGAGCCCTCAGGCCTGACATTGCGCAGCACCTCTGGTCACGAGCACGTGCTCAGGGCAAGCGTGTTTCAGATGCGTGTTCTGCCTGTCCTTTTACAAATCCACAAGTAGATGTTCCATGCATGCCATGCTGGCATTGAGGGCCTCTTCATTTCTTAGGAAATGGCATGCTAGCTTGTGTAGTAGTACAGCAGAATTATAGATTAATTTCAGCATTGCCTGCCTTTCTTTAGACTTTTCTTTCTTTAGACTAAAAAGCCAATTGATTGTTATCCAAATTCCGCATATCTGTACTGTGCTCCTAGCCTTCCTGGTTTCTTTTGGAAAATATCCTGTTTTTGTGTCTGAAATTAGCTAATTGTTGGCATAGTTAGTAGTGGTTGAAAGGGACTAACAGTCCTCTCTGAGACCTTAGTGATATGGAAGCTGTACATACTTTAGTGTGGTGGTTTATTTTTTAACTATGGTTGAAGCAAGATACACATTTTACGTTAGGATTCATTAGACACTTACACATTGTTACCTGAAGTAAACTTCATGACACAATAGTATTTTATGCTTACCTTGTGTATTCCAGTACCGTCTGTGGGTTTTTTTTTTTGTACCGGGACTCTAACTCAGGACTTCACTCTTGCCAAGCAGGCCGTCCACCACTGAGCTATATCCCCAGCCCCTATGTTATTTCTTTAAAAAGAAATGCTCATCACTACCCATTTAATGAGTTAATATGGCTTGCTAGGGATGTCAGATTGCAGATTGTGAAATGAGGAAGTGGTCTCCAGGTATACAGTCATTCTCACTGTCCCTGTGTGATTCTGTGATATATTTGGAGGCCATTTCATTTAGTTTGCATGTTTTCAAATCAACACACCTTATCAGATAATTAAAATGTAGTTTGTCATCTAGAAAAAAAGCTTACCTAAAAATACGAAACTGTTGAGGGAGTTTTGGCTGTGTGTTCTAAAGTTCGGTAGAACTTTCAGATTTTTTTGTTTGTTTGTTTGTTTTCCGGTACCAGGAATCGAACTCACGACCTTGTGCTTGCCAGGCAGGCGCTGTGCCGCTGAGCTAAATCCCCAGCCCTGGAGAACTTTCTATTTCTTTCTTCTTTTTATATGTGCCTAATTATAAAGCAGCATATTAATAGTAAGGTTTGTGGTTCTTTTATTTTTTTAACTTGACATGGTTAACTTAATTGGAAATATTAGTTACTTGTCCAGTTAATGTTTCACATTTTATATAAATTGTGGCAAAGCCAGGAAGAACTTTTAAATTCCATGATTGATAATTTGTCATTCAGAGAGATTTATCCAAAGTTACCTTTGCTTCTCTATCGAAATTTTCTGTTTAAAGAGCTGGAAATACTTTAGGCAGACTTCCCTATTTTTAGGACTGTGGTCAGCTTTGACCTACAGACTTGGCCTGGTCAGAGTGATGACATTTTTGACTGTTGCCTGATGTCTTCCCGCAGAATTAGAAGAGTTTCCCACTGACCAGCCAAGATGAACATGGTGAAGAGGATCATGGGGCGGCCGCGGCAGGAGGAGTGCAGCCCGCAGGACAACGCCTTGGGTCTGATGCACCTCCGCCGGCTCTTCACAGAGCTGTGCCACCCGCCCCGGCACATGACGCAGAAGGAGCAGGAGGAGAAGCTGTACATGATGCTGCCGGTGTTCAACAGGGTGAGTGCGCTTGCAGGCGGACGCCTGCCTCCCTGGACCGAGCCCTGCGGGCCGTCTCCAGGGCAGTGGGAAGTCACAGCAGAAAGGAATGACGGGACGCCTTGGTTTTTATTTTTTTAAATTATTTTGGTACTGGAAATAGAACTCAGGACCTTGCGCTCGCCAGACACGCGCTATGCCGCTGAGCTCTATCCCCAGCCTGACGCCTTGGTTTTTAAAAAGCCTGATGTTGTCATTCATTTTATAAAAGTTTGCTGCTAAGGGAACAGGGCAGGGCGTGCAACTGCTTGGGATGAACTGCACGTAGTGAGACCTCTTCCAGCCTAGCAGCCCCAAGAGCTGTGGGCTGGTGTAGACTGCTTCTGCGGGGCTGAGTCTGGGAGGAGGAAAGTGTGCCTGACATTTCTGTTTCAGTGTTCTCCTGCTCCCGAGGGGTGTGCTTATTGTACCAAGTGGTGCGGTTACCCAGGCTTCTGGAACCCTGTGAAAAATCACCCGGTTTGCTTTGCTGTCAGCAGGGGTTTTGTGCGATTCTTCTGCAAGGACAAAGTCGTACGCTGTAGAGAATCCATGCAGAATCAACCTTCCGATGTTGACTCTACCTAACAGTCTTCCTGGAGCTTCTTAAAATAACTTCTGTATATTGATCATAGGTTTGTAAGCACATGGTTTTAAAAAGTCAAGTGGTTCCTCAGTCCTGTAGCAAGCCTGCTGCTCTCCACCAGTAATTGTTGCTGCCTCTGAAGCTTTTAAGTAACATTTTCCCTGCAGCCTCTTGATTATTCAGTGTTAATTGACTTCCCGCTGGGGAATGCGAGTTGGCCTTTTCGCTTCCTGTCCCTCCAAACTGTTGCACGCTTCTCTCTGCCTCTTCCCCCGTGTGCTTCCGGTGCGCCCCTTGGCCTGTGTTCCCGCCCGCGGACCGGGCGGAGATGTTGTCCCAGCGCTGCCGCTGTTCCAGTGCAGTCCAGCGTCACACAGCTTGCGCCCTCCGAGGCGTCCTGCTCGGTTAGCTTCTTGTGCTCCCCACGCGTGTGTCTGTCCCCTCCTTGTCCCGCACCCCGTTCTTCCTTCCTCTTGCTCACTCCCTGCCCTCTGTTTGTCACTGCCCCGGCGTCTCGCCCTTGCCCTTACTCTGCCCTTCTCCCTCTTGACTTTCCCTGAGTACACGCTGTCCACGCTCCCTGTGTGGCGTGGGTGTGTGCACACCGCACGTCTTACCCCTCTCCCCAGTCCCTTCCCTCCCCCTCTGTCTCCCCTTCCCCTTCCCGTTGAGGAAGGGTCTAGCTCCTGTCTCCTGTTACCTCTCCTTTATCTTGCTCTTTCTGTATACTCTGGGCCTCTGTATCACACACACGGTGTGATGTTTACGCTTGCGTGTCTGACTTGTTTCACTTAGCATTGTGGTCTCGAGGTGCATCCGCTTTCCTGCGGAGGATTCAGGTGGTTCTTATAGCGCAGCCGTGCTCCACTGTGTGTACACACCACCTTTTCTTCACCCATTCATCTGTTGACTGCCACGTAGGTCACCCCCAAGATTTAGCTGTTCTTTTCTTTCTGCCTCTGTCTCTCCCTTCCCGTTTATCTTCCTGTCTCTTTCTGTGTTTCCATTTTTCTCCCTCTTCCCCTTTCCGGTCACTCTTGTCCCTATTTCTCTTCTTCCTGTCTCACTGTCCCTGTGTCCCCCAGTGTCGAGCTCTCTCTGCCTGTCTCTTTTTCCCCCTTCAAGTCCACTTTCCCTGTCCCTACCCTCTGTCTGCCAGTCCCCGCCTGGCTACCCTTCATCCATGCTGTTCCCTCTCTGCTAGTCTGTCTCTGTGGGATGTTTTCCGAGCTCTCCTTTTCCCTCACTGTGGACGTACTGATACTTGAGAATGAGGCATTGAGACTGGCCTGCACATTAGGTCCGCAGAGGTGAGACTGTGCAGTGGTCAGACCGTCTGGCAGGAGTACCTGATTGAGAGACTCCTCAACTTCAGTATCCTTAGCTTATTTCTTTTAGATGCTTTGATGTTCCAGGAAGGGGGTCCTCCCACCTGCCCAGAGCAGATGAGCCTGACACTTCGTTTTCTGATTTTCCTAGGCAGGAGAATCAGGTTGCTGCGTCCTGCTCAGCAGCGCGCCTTTCCCTTCACCTCTGATTTTTACACCTCATGGCTCTGCTCCTCAAATTGTGCCAGAATCTCTGTCCTTCCCCTTAAGGGATTAACCTTCCGGTAGTCTGCTGCCTGGAGCAGGGTAGGCACCTTAATTGTCTAGGCTGTAAAATAATATCTACCTTAACGGGGGCACAGTGGTTCATGTCTATAATCCCAATGCTCAGGAGGCTGAGGAAGGAGGATCACCAGGACCTCAAAGCCAGCCTGGGCTACATAGTAAATTCAAGGCCAGCCTGAACTACACACTACATAGCAAGACCCTGTCTGAAAAACAGAAAAAAACAAAAACCAGAAGAATAGTTTTCCTGAGCAATTTTTACCTGTTATTATTTTCTGTTATTGCATTAAAAGTACACACATTAGAAGACAAAGCAAAGAGTCCAGACTGTTGGTGCTAAAATAGTTCCTCACCTGTGTGTTGCTCAGAGCATGCTCGTGGTGCAGGCTGAGAGCAGAGGCGGAGATGGACCCTGCGAGCGTTGGCAGCTTGTTCGCTCACTGTCTGTTCATCCCTCAGTCCGTGCAGTGAACTTCTGCCAGGTACGCACCGTCCTACGCTGCCCTGGGTACTGGGGCCTCGCAGGTGAGCGGCCTCGTCAGTCTTATAAGACTAGAGTGTGACGAAGGGAAGCGGGCACACACATGGTCCAGCGCGAGCACTGGTGCCCTTGAAGGTCGTCACCTAAGACACTGGGAACCAGGGAGGGAAAGTCTTCTTTATAATATGGTGCCTTCCTGAGCCCTTTGAAGATAGCCAGGAACCACCATAGGGATAGCTGGGACCAGAGTAACTAACGAACTAGCAGAAGTTCTGGTGTGGACCCCAGCAAAAGACAGCCTTTGGGAATGTTCCAGCATCTTCCGTTTGCCGTCCTAGAAATTGCCTTTATATAAGAAGGGTGAAATTTGACTGTCCAGTCTCATGGGAGCAGAGGTGTCGCATTTAGGGCTGGCCTTGCCCTGGAGGCGGAGGAGCCCGTGATGTCACCGGAGCAGCAGGGTGAGAGCTGAGGGGCTGCCGCAGCTGTCTCCCAGGTCTCCAGCATGGGAAAGCTGGTGCATGTTTCCAGCAGAGCCGGGAAAGGAAGATTTCAGGAGCAGATTCGTGGTGTGGCCTTGGGTCTGAACTGCTCAGGAGCGTCCGTGGTAGAGGCAGTGAGCAAGGGATTAGAGGTTCACGTCTGAGCTGGACACTTTGTAGTTGCTACCTGGAAGGGGGCAAAAGATCACTTGTGGTTCACACTGCCGCGTGTACAAGCAGAGTGACTGGCTCTTGTTTTCTTTGGTTTTTCTGTGAAACTGCTTCTCACTGTGTTGGGCAGGCTGGCCTTGAATTTGTGATCCTCCTGCCTCAGCCTCCTAAGTAGCTGGGAGGTGTATGCCTCTATACCTAGCTGAGGAAAAGAATGTTGAAAGAAAGCAGGGAAGCCCATAAAGGATAGAGAACAAGACCCAATCAGTGCCAGAACAGAAAGAATCAGGATAGGGTGGGTTAAAGAACCCGAGAGATGGAAGTTTCTAGAAGGAGCGAAGTTGGCACCATGGCACATACTGGAGATAGTGCGTTCACGGGGACCCACCAGCTTGGAAATCAGCAGCCAGAGAGCAGCTGGGTGAGGAGTGATTAGAGGCAGAAAGACAGTAAACAGTGGATTTTGAGCTTGGACGTAGAGAACCCCCTCTCCCTGCAGCGGACCTCCTCTGCACCCGGGCGAGACGGGGTCAGCCCATGTGTGAGCCCGGCCCCAGGAGCTGGTCCTCCCCTCGCAGCCACACTGGGCTTCAGCCTGAGGGCCAGGTGACCACAGGTGAGCCTGTCAGTGACGGCGCTCGTTGTGTGCTTACAGTATTTTTTGCTTTTAAAGTGGGCGAGAGCCAGGCATACTCCTAAGGAGAAAAGAGTAGCAGGGAAGAGAAACGTGGAAAGTTTCAGGAAAGGATGACATTAGCTTGAGGGAAGATGAGGTGAGGTTGGACTCAAATTGCAGGTGCGGGGGGAACGCGCCTCAAACAGGAAACCGCCGTGCTGTGAGTTGGGTAGGAAAGTGGACTTGCGGTGTGGGGAGGGACTTTCTGTGATGCTCGGTATTGAATGAACTTGTGTTTCATGACCTTGGGTTCCTGTGATCACGCACGGAGGTGCGGCCCACCAAGAGACTGGAGTGTGCGCATGCCTGCATCCCCGATACTTGCGAGGCTGAGACAGGAGGATCTCAAAGGAAAACAGAAAGGGCTGCAGATGTAGCTCAGTGCTCCCTGCTTCAGTCAGCAGTACCGCTGCCCCACAGGGTCTCAGGCGAGCAGGTTGAGCAGGAGACTTAAGGAAATTAATGACTGTGATAGGGGAATGAGAGGGAGGCAGAAAGAGTCAAGAAGAGCGGAATGTGAAAGAACTGATTAGTGCTGAGGGCTGGCTGACGGTGGTGTGGTACATTTGCCCTGGGTGTAGAGATTGGACATTTTTAAATGTGAAGGAAGAGGATAGACTGCTGGGGGGAGGTGTCAGGCAGCGTGAGGAGGGGTGAGAAAGGGTCAAAGGAGCTGTCGTTAAAATGGCAGAGGAGACTGACTCCGGTATGGACGCATTGCTTCACGGCCTGTTCAGGTAGGTCATCTTTACTGGAAGCAGTTTGGGGATGGTTTTGTTTTGTTGTTGGTCTTTTTGTTATCAAGTGCCATGATCTGCTACTACAGGCTCCTGAGCAGTTAAGGTAGTTTCCTTGTCTCAGATTTGCTATCATGTAGAGGGTGGTGCAAATGTCCAAAGCAGTTAAGGGAATTTGCCCTCAGCTCTGCGTGTGTGTACACCAGTCTGGGCAGTGCTGGGAGTGGAACCCAGGG